AACGGTATCTGTCGATATTCGGTATTTTGATGATTTAAGCGACATTATTCACCGATTTTTTTTTATTCAAGTTTCGCATTTGAATATTGTAATGGGTTATGGCAAAAGTTGCCTCTGCAGATCCACGTAGTCGTATAGACCCTAATATAACGGCTATACCGAATATTTTTAAGATTTTAACAAAATTTTTAACGAATTTTTTTTTTTTTTTTTTTTGAAAATTGCCAAAATCACTCCAAATGGTGGAGGGTATTTAAAAATCGGCCCGGCCGAACTTACAGCTTTTTTACTTGTTTTTTTTTAATATTTATTTAACATTGCAGTTTTTTTTATATTTCACTTGAATCCTCAATGTAATAAATTCGAAATGCGAGATGCTTAAAAATGTAAACAGAAAAAATATGAATGTCAAAGTGACAGAAGATTAATGTTATTTAACCAAGAATTATTACAGAATTTAAAAACGGAATTCAGGTTAAGATATTTTTTATAAATGATACACCTTTGTGGCTTTAAACGAACTTTAAAGATTATTAAAAAAATTAACTTAAAAATTTACAAAAACAAAAAATAAAAAAAAATAAAAAATCTGTAAAAATTCCTCATTTCTGTTTGAGTTTTTTTAGTGAAAAAAAAAGTTAAAATCATAAAAATACCGAATTTGGGGAGGTATCGTTATATGGGGGCTATACGAAGACCTGGACTGGCATAGAAAATTTTCTGTCACAGGCTGTAGCATCCATTACGAACTTCAAATACCACATCTCAAACAATTTCGGTGGGTATTGTACCTAAAATACCGAATATAGGGAGGTACTGGTATATGGGGCCTATACGAAGACCTGGACCTGCATAGGCAATTTTCTGTCACAGGCTGTAGCATCCATTACGAACTCTAAATGCGTAATTTGAAAAAATGTTGGTGAATAAAGACGCTAAAATCATAAAAATACCGAATATCGGGAGGTATCGTTATATGGGGGCAATACGAAGACGTGGACCTGGACAGACAATTTTCTGTCTTAGGGTGTAGTATTTATTTCGAACTTCAAATACCAAATTTGAAACAATTCCGGTGAATAATGTCGCTAAAAACATCAAAATACCGAATATCGGGAGGTACCGTTATATGTATACCAAAACGTAAACGTACATGACCCATTTTCAATACCAAAAGTCCTGCAGACATAACATACATTTGAGTAAAATTTTATCAATCTACTTCAATTCGTTCGGAAGCTAGAGTGATTTTCACAGACGGACGGACATCGCTAAATCGACACAGAATTTTATGCTGATCAAGAAATGCTGATCCTATCCTGATTATCCTAATATTTTTATGAGATACAATGGAAATAGAGATTTCTATTCTTTGGTGACTTACAGTGAAATTTGATGAAGAATATTTTTGTCTTTGTCATCATCTTTCCAAAATGATGCTTTCTTAGAGATTTTTTGCAGTAAAAAACAGCAGCAAACAAATTACTTTCGCTTTTAGTACATATATTTAGAATGTAAATTTCCTTAAAAACTATTGTACCTAGATATGTGGTTTATTCTGAGATTTATAGGGAAATTTGGTGTAGAACATTTCTTCCTTTAATAACTTTTGCCTAAAACGAAATGTTATGCCACTTTCAGGTGGCAACTTGAAAAAAGTCCGTGGAAAAATTCATCTAAAAATTGGGGAATATTTACTGTTTTTTTTTTTTTTGGAACATTGATGTTAATATTTTTATGGGATACAATGGAAATAGAGATTTCTTTTCTTTGGTGACTTACACTGAAATTCGATGAGGAATATTTTGTCTTTAATGACATATTTCTAAAATCGTGTTTTGTTGGAGATTTTTTGCAGTAAAAAACAGCAGCAAACAAATTATTTTCACTTTAAGTACGTAAATTTCAAATGTTAATTTCCCTAAAAACTATTGCACCTAGACATACGATTTATTCTAAGAGTTATAGTGAAATTTTGTGCTGAACATTTCTTCCTTTAATAACTTTTGCCCAAAACGAAATTTTATGTCACTTTCAGGTGGCAACTCGAAAAAAGTCCGAAGAAAAATTCATCTAAAAATTTGGGATTATTTTCAGGGTGTTTTTCTTTGATTTTTTTAAACTTGCAATGGAAATATCGATTTCCCTTCTTTGGTGACTTATACTGAAATTTTAAGAGGAACATTTTCGTCTTTGACTTCATTCTTCCAAAATGATGCTTTCTTGGAGATTTTTTGAAGTAAAAAAAAAGCAGCAAACAAATTACTTTCGCTTTTAGTACATATATTTAGAATGTAAATTTCCTTAAAAACTATTGTACCTAGATATGTGGTTTATTCTGAGATTTATAGTGAAATTTTGTGTATAATATTTCTTTCTTTAATAACTTTTGCCAAAAACGAAATTTTATGTCACTTTCAGGTGGCAACTCAAAAGAGTCCGTGGAAAAATCAATCAAAAAATTGGGGAATATTTTCGGTTTTTTTTTTTGCGAACATTGATGCTAATATTTTTATGAGATACAGTGGAAATAGGGATTTCTTTTCTTTGGCGACTTATACTGAAATTTGTTCTAGAATAATTCTTCTTTTAATACTTTCCCCCAAAAATTAAGTATAACGGGAGATTTTGACTCCGATTGGATAGGTGTTATATTAACAGCAAAATAAAGCAAATTCATAATTTCCAGTTTTAGTACATAAATTTCGAATGTAATTTCCATAAAAGCTATTGCACCTAGATCAATGGTTTATTCTGAGATTTATAGTGAAATTTTGTGTAGAATATTTCTTCCTTTAATAACTTTTACCTAAAACGAAATTGTATGTCACTTTCATGGGGCAACTCGAAAAAAGACCGTGGAAAATTTAATAAAAAATAGGGAATATTTTCAGGGTGTTTTTCTTTGATTTTTTTTTTAACATGCAATAGAAATATCGATTTCTCTTCTTTGGTGACTTATACTGAAATTTTAAGAGGAACATTTTCGTCTTTGACTTCATTCTTCCAAAATGATGCTTTCTTTGAGATTTTTTGCAAAAAAAAAGCAGCAAACAATTTATTTTCGCTTTTAGAACATAAATTTTAAATGTAAATTTCCTTAAAAACTATTGTACCTAGATATGTGGTTTATTCTGAGATTAATAGTGAAATTTTGTGTGGAACATTTCTTCCTTTAATAACTTTTTCCTAAAATGACATTTTATGTCACTTTCAGATGTTAACTCGAAAACAGTCAGGGGAAAAATTAATCTAAAAATTGGGAAATAATTTTTTGTTTTCGTTTTTGGGAAAGGATTAATGGTAATATTTTTTTAATATCCAATGGAAATAGAGATCTCTTTCCTCTGGTGACTTATACTGAAATTTGATGAGGAATATTTTTGTCTTTGACATCATCCTACTAAAATGGTGCTTTCTTAGAGATTTTTTTTGCAGTAAAAACAGCAGCAAACACACACATGGAAATTTCCTTAAAAACTAGTGTACCTAGGTATATAGTTTATTCTGAGATTTATAGTGAAATTTTGCATAGAACATTTCTTCTTTTAATAAATTTTGCCTAAAACGAAATTTAAGGTCTCTTTCAGGTGGCAACTCGAAAAAAGTCCGTGGAAAAATCAATCAAAAAATTTGGGAATATTTTCGGTTTTTTTTGCGAACATTGATATTAATATTTTTATGAGCTACAATGGGAATAGAGATTTCTGTTCTTTAGGGACTTATAGTGAAATTTGAATATTTTTGTCTTTTATATCATCTTTCTAAAATCATGTTTTGTTGGAGATTTTTTACAGTAAAAACCACCGGGAAACTCATTATTTTCGCTTTTAGTACATACATTTTGAATGTAAATTTGCTTAAAAACTATTGTACCTTGAGGTATGGTTTATTCCGAGATTTATAGTGAAATTTTGTGTAGAACATTTCATCCTTTAATAACTTTTGCCTAAAACGAAATTTTATGTCACTTTCAGGTGGCAACTCGAAAAAAAATGTTTTTCAATTAAAGCCCTGGAATTTTTTCGTATGATTTCTTCCTTCAATTAACTTTGTTTTATATTTTAAAAAAAGTAAAAAAAACCCTTAGAAATTATTTTTCCAATTTTTTTTAGAGATGTCAAGAAAAAGTCATTTATTTTTTCAATTATCCAAATTAAAATTAAATATTTAGAAATTTTTATTTTTTTTTTTTTTCATTTTAATTTTGATATTTTTAAAAATATTTTTCTAATACTTTTTTATTATTTCTCATTTAAAATTCAAATAGGCGGTAGCTGCAGTTTGGATTTTTTTTTATTTTTTTTTAATCCACATTTAAATCGGAAATAAATCCACATCTAAAACATAATGAGAATAATGTAGTTTCTTGTTTATGTTAATGAGCGGCGACATCCTTGAATTTACCAGACGATGTAATAAAAAAATAAACAACAACAAAAAAAGTGAAATGTATTATTTTTTTAGCCATTCTAAACTGGTAATTGCTAACATTTCAATATTTGTTTTTTTAGTTTTAAACAAAAAAAAAAATAATTTAGAAAAACAAAACTACGCAGATTGTTTTTTCTCTCTTGAAATTTTTTCATTTAATTTTTTTTGATGTTCTTGTTGTTGTTGTTTTTATCTTTTTGAGATTTATAACTGAAATCATAAAATTCCCGGAGTACATCTACGTAATACGTATTCGGGTGACAATGACAACAACAACAAGATCGGCAACAACAATATCAGAACATGGCTATGAAGTGATAAGGATCCGCTTACAGCTTCACAACAGGTGAGCAAGCGAGCGGTACCAACAACAACAAATTTTGAGTGATTTCAAGCACAACAACAACACCAGAACACAAATTTATCAGCCACAACTGAGATATGGCAACTTAACCAAATTACCCAGAAATTTTCTTTCTTTGGCATTTCTTTTCATTTCATTTCGTTTCTTTGATTTTGTGTTTTTTCTTTTCATGCCAGCTATAAAAAGCCCCGCTGCAGACCCAAACATCACCATTAACTTCTGGTTTTTGGAGCCGCTAGGAGCTCAATAACCGCCTTAACGTACTAGTTGTTCAAAGTTGTTAAATCCTTTTCAAACCCCCCTTCCGACACCAAAGTCCAGCAAGGCTGAAACCATTCGTGAGTTTGCGAAAGTGAAGTGCGAATTTTGACCAAAAAAAATTTCAACAAAAAAAAAATAAAAAAGGTGCGTAAAAAATTGAAAAAAAAACAGTGGAAAAAATTAAGAAAAAAAAAACAAGAACAAGAATAAAAGTTAATAATTAATAAGGTTTAAGACAATACAAAATTGTGAAATTGAAAATAACTCCAGTACCCAGCATGATATGCCGGCTGTGATATTTAAAAACAATGACTCAACGTCTTGAGGATTATGGGATGATGAATTCTTCAAAATATTTTCTTATTATTTTTAATATTAAAATTAAAAATCATTTCAAAAATTATTTTTTTTAAACAATTTCTAAGGATTTGTATTTAGTTTTCAAAAAATATACTTAAAATAAAATTTCCAGCAAATTGTGAAAAAATACTTAAATGCTGCTTTAGAAATGAACAAGGATTTTTTTATTAACAAACATTGAAGGCAATTTTTTTATGGTTAATATTGAATATACATATTCCTTTTGTTCTGAGACTCATACTGAAATTCGATCTAGAATAATTCTTCTTTTGATACTTTCCCCCAAAAATGAAGTAGAAAGGGACATTTTGGCTCCGATTGGATAGGTGTTATATTAACAGGAAAATAAAGCAAATTCATAATTTCCAGTTTTAGTACCATATTTTCGAATGTAATTTCCATAAAAACTATTATACCTAGACGTACGATTTATTCGGAGATTTATTGTGAAATTTTGTGTAGAACATTTCTTCCTTTAATAACTTTTGCATAAAATGAAATTTGATGTCACTTTCAGGTGTCAACTCGAAAAAAGTCAGGGGAAAAGTTCATCAAAAAACTAGGGAATATTTTCGGTTTTTTTTTGGAACATTGATGCTAATATTTTGATGAGATACAATGGAAATAGAGATTTTCTTTCTTCTGTGACTTATGCTGAAATTTGATAAGGAATATTTTTTTCTTTTAAATCATCTTTCCAAACTAATGTTTTGTTGGAGAATTTTGCTGTTAAAAAAAAAAACACCAAAAACCTATTTTTCACTCATAGTACATACATTTTAAATTTAATTTATAATTAAAAACTATAGCACCTAGATATATAACTTATTCTGAGATTAGTAGTAAAATATTGTGTAGAATATTTCTTCTTTTAATAACTTTTGCCTAAAATGAAATTTGATGTCACTTTCAGCTGTCAACTCGAAAAAAGTCCGTGGAAAAATTCGTCAAAAAATTAGGGAATATTTTCGGTTTTTTGGGATCATTGATGTTAATATTTTTATGAGCTACAATGGAAATAGAGATTTCTTTTCTTTAAGGACTTATACTGAAATTCGATTTAGAATAATTCTTCTTTTTATACTTTCCCCCAAAAATGAAGTATATATCCGATTGGATATTTGTTAAAATAACAGTAACATAAAGCAAGTACTTAATTTTCAATCATAGTACATAAATTTTAAATGTAATTTTCCTTAAAAACTATTACACCTAGATATATGATTTATTCTGAGATTTATAGCGAAATTTTGTGTAGAATATTTCTTCTTTTAATAACTTTTGCCTAAAATGAAATTTGATGTCACTTTCAGCTGTCAACTCGAAAAAAGTCCGGGGAAAATCAATCGAAAATTAGGGAATATTTTCTGTTTTTTGGGAACATTGATCCTAATATTTTTATGAGCTACAATGGAAATAGAGATTTCTATTCTTTAGGGACTTATACTGAAATTTGATGAGGAATATTTTTGTCTTTGACATCAACCTTCCATAATGATGCTCTCTTAGCGATTTTTTTGCAGTAAAAACATCATCAAACACATTATTTTCACTTTTAGCACATAAATTTCGAATGTAATTTTCCTTAAAAACTATTATACATAGATCAAGGGTTTATTCTGAGATTAGTATTGAAATTTTGTATAGAATATTTCGTTCTTTAATAACTTTTGCCTAAAACGACATTTTATATCACCTTCAGTCGTCCTCTCGAAAAAAGTCTGGGGAAAAAATGCATCAAAAAAATTATGGCATATTTTAATGATGTTTTATTTATTTATTTTTTTTTTAATTTCCAATGAAAATTACGATTTCTTTCTTTTGGGAACTTATACTGGAATTTGATGAGGAATATTTTCGTCATTGACATTATCCTTCTAAAACGATGTTTTGTTTGGGATTTTGGCACAATCTCACACAAAGTAAGGTTTTATCGCAAGAATGTGCTTTTTTATAAATGAATTTCTGGCATTTGGGTAAGATTTAGACCTTTGATGTCTTCTAGAACCCATAGTCGAATTTCATGACCAATTATTTTGTGGAATATTTTCACCTGCTACGATCGCGTTTAAAGGGAGTTTTTTAAGCGTAATTTGGAAAAAAGCCCAAAGCGAGGGTTAAAAGGCCAAAAAGACCCCATTTTAGTGTGGTTTGAGGGTTAACATTTTCTGCCAAAATATTCCTCGTATTTTTATCTGCAATATTGCCAAAGACACTATATACCTAAAGTCTCTGGATTCCAAGGAACTTTATTTCGAAAATTTCCAAAAATGTGAAGAAGAGGAGGGAAATTTCCAAAAAAAAGCTCTTTTGTGTGGTTTGAGGGTTAAAATTTTCGCCGAAATATTAGCCATTAATTGATCTCCAATATTGCCAAAGACACAATATACCTAAAGTGTCCGGAGTCCAATGAACCTTATTTCGAAAATTTCCAAAAATGTGAAGAAGAGGGGGAAACTTCCCAAAACAACTTTATTGTCTGGTTTGAGGGTTAAAATTTTCCGCCAAAATATTACCCATTAATTTATGCCCAATATTGTCAAAGACACTATATACCTAAAGTGTACAGATCCCAAGGAATCTTATGTCGAAAGTTTCCAAAAATGTGAGGAAGAGGGGGGAACTTCCCCATCCTTACTTTGGTTACTTTACATTGCAAATTTTTGAAAATGCCGTTGCATGGGTCTTCTGTTTTTTGCTCTAATTTCATAATCTGCTGAATTTTCCTTGAAATTTTAGGAAAAATTGAATTTTGAGTATTTACAAAAATTTCTCTATTTTTACCTCGACTTTCCAAATCTTTTCCGTAATTATTGAAAAAATTGAATTTTTTGTACTTAAAAATGATCAGACATTTTTCTAAAAATTTTAATTTTGAAATAAAAAGTAAGAAATTTTCCTTGCAATTTTGGAAAATATTGAATTTTTTCGGTAAAAAATAAAAAATTGCATTTTTTGTACCCATTAAATGATCAGACATTTTTCCAAAAATTATAATTTTGAAATTAAAAAACTAGGAAATTTTCCTTGCAATTTTAGGAAAAATTTAATTTTTTTCGGTAAAAAAATTGAAAAATTTAGTTTTTTGTACCTAAAAAATAATCAGACATTTTTCCAAAAATTGTAATATTGAAATTAAAAAACTAGGAAAAATTCCTTGCAATTTTAGGAAAAATTGTTTTTTTTTTGGTAAAAAAAATTGAAAATTTGATTTTTTTTATTTTAAAAAATTCTCAAAAAATTTTGCAAAAATCACCATTTTGAAATTAAAAAATAAGATTTTTTAAAAATATTTTTACAAATTTTCAAAATATTTCTCAATATTTTGCTATTATTATACAATCTAATGGGTTGAAATTTTTTCCAAAAATCTTTATTTTGAATTTAGAGAGTATTTTTTTTTAAATATTTTTACAAATTCTCAAAATATTTCTCAATATTTTGCTTTTTAAATACACTCTAAGGGCTATTTGGATGAATTCCATTCAATTACACTTTTCATATATTATCTAAATCTGACTCATCATTAATTTTTAGGGGAAAATCCAAAAAAATTAATTTTTTTTTTCAAAATTAAATTAAATTTTATTTTAATTATTTATCAAATTGCATTATTTGTTATACAAAGTTATTGTTGTTTTTTGTTGAAAAAAATAAAATAATAACAATAACAAAAATTTCTATTTGAATACAATAAAACTTTCAATTTTATTTGCAATGGCAGAGGCAAACAAAGGCCAGCTCAGTCGCTCGCTCGCTCGCATCTGGAAATTATTTAACAGTTCAATACTAATTACAGTTGGTTTGACTGAGATATGAAAATTCAAAGGGAAATAGTGGGGGAGAGGGGAAAAGTGGAAGGCAGGAAAGTAGAGTGCTTGGAAAGTGCCAGGAAAATCGAATTCCGCCAAGCTGTACCAATCGCAGTTGTTGCCCTGTTCCCTGGCTTCATTGAAATTATTTTTTTTTTTTTTTTTTTGATTAGCATTTTTCAAATATTTGTTTACAAATCACAGCTTTTTGTTTTGTTTTCAATTCATCCAATTTATTTTTTTATTAATTTTTTAAAATTCTGAAAACAAAAATTTCAATTCTGAAAAAATTTCAATTCATCAAAAAATCTTCAATTCATCAAAAATAAATTCAATAATGAAGTCATTTGCATTCATCCGGCATTTGTTTGGGGGAGAGTTTTATTTTTTTTTTTTTTGTTTTGTCCTATTGACAAAAATATTCAATACTTCGAAAAAAAACGTATTTTCAAAACCCAAGTGTTTGAGTGTTGTTTTGTACTTTTATCACCCTTCGGCCATTAACTGAATTTTTTGGGGAATTTTCAAAACAAAAAAAAAACAAAATATTGCAGCTGAGTAATTTCAAATAAATCCAAACAAAATTCATTGGCCCCAAATTGCGACAGATAAACGACAGGTGGAAAATTTTCGATTTAAAAAAAAATATATATATTTTGAAAATAATTTCCAGAGATTCCAAGGACTCTTATTTCGAAAGTTTCCAAAAATTTGTGGAAGAGGGGAGGGGGGGACTTCCCCATCTCTATTTTGGTTACTTCAGGTTGTAAAATTTTGAAAATGCCGTTACATGGGTCATCTGTGATTATACCCTCCACCATAATATGGAGGGTATATTAAGCCTTTGTAACACCTCGAAATATACATTTTAGACCCCACAAAGTACCACAAAGTCAAAGGCCATAATTTTCAATTTTTTTTTTTATTAATTTTATCGAATAAAAACAAAAAATATCGGAAATAGCATCAAAA